CCGCTTTCTAAATTCACTTTGTTAATTGGACTCTTATAAATGTCCTGTTGAATCATCTCACCCAGGAGGGCCTGGGAAGGGTTGTTTCCTTTTGACTCCACTGGGTTATTTAAATAGCAATATAGGTATTCTTTGCTCTAAGAAAACTAGAGATATGTAAAATCTAAATTTCCAGCAAGTATAGTAGAGAATGATGGTCAACTTTACAAAAGAGATAAAGACAGGAAGCTTTACCATAAGGAAATTGCTTTACAGAAATTTGCCTCTGTTTTCCTACCACCCTTGAATTGGAAGGACTATCTCTAATTTAGGAATTCCAAGGATTTTAGGAATTAGTTTTGGGCAAAAATAAGGAGTTCTGGCATAAAACTTAGAAATGGGCTTCTAGCAATTTCCTGAGGCCCTTTTCCTTTTGTTCAACAGTATGCATTATTGCAGTCATTTCTGTGGTAGGTGAGAAGTCTTATTCTTAACAGTTTTTATCTGGCTAATGACTACTCCAGTATTTGGAGGTAGGCAACAGACAGCTGACCTGTTATGGTGGCACAGACAGGAGTGTTCATTCTGGGCACAATTTTTTGCACCTGCTAATGGCCACATGGGCGATCTCATTTTTTGTGCCTCACCTTCCCCAGATGAGAAGTTACATTGCCTTCTTTCCTCTTACACTTCAGTGATGTCTGAGGTGGAGCTGAAGGAGCTCTGCAGCCAGTGCTGAGGCTAATCTTAGTCCTGCATTTCATGGGGGAAGGAAGCTGTGCCCCCTTCCTTAGGGATTGTAGGTCTTTGCAGGGGGAGGCTGATGACTTTCTCAAGACAGGGACACAGAGAAAGCCCATGGGATTTTTTTTCAGAGACTTCCAACTGGAATTTCCCAAATCCACTTGTTACTGTTCCCTGGTCGAAAGCCATCTCCCAGCTTGCCCTCTGAGCTCGGCACAGAGGACTAAGAGAACTTGAACTTAGAACTGGCTCTCCCTAAATGTTTGTGGAGTGTTGTTGGCTCCCGGGTGCCCACATCTCAGCCACCATCCCCACCCACGGAGGCAGCTCCAGACACACATTTGGTTTCCGAGTGCCATGCCACACTCTGGAATGTGCTGACCATGCTTCCTAGGGAAGATGACACTCCTGAAGGGTGTTATTATTAGTAGAGCAGCTTTTGCTCTCATCTGTCAACACTCCCTCACTCGGGGTCTTTACTGAGCAATGACAGACTTAAGAACCTATGGCAGTCAGCACAGCTGCCCACCTCTCCTTGAAATCTGGCTGCTGTGACTCCTTACTTGTCGGGTTTGCCTCTTAACCTGTCCAGCCAGTCTACTCAGTTTCTTCTCTTGTTTCTTTTCATCTTTCTTCAAAGCGCAGTCCTAGATCTTTCTCTCTCTTCTCTAATCTTTCCCCCTTTTTCCAAATTAATCAATTCTCATAGTTTAAATATCCCCCTTTTAGGTAAAAACTCCTATATTTATATGTCTAGTCTATACTTCTGTTTTTGGCTTTAAACCCATACATTTGATTACCCACTTGGCATTTCGACAAGGAGTCTCCCAAATTCGACATGCTCAAAACAGAGTGGATGGTCCTCCACCTCCATTTGGTCTCCCTATGCTTTGTATAGTCTTCCTAGTCTGAGCAAGTTCCACTGCAACCCACCTAGTTTCTAGGTCAGAAACTTGAGAATATGTCTCGTCATCTCTCTTTCCCACACTCCCAGCACTCAAACAACAGTCAAGTCCTATAAACTATATCTTTAACATTTTTGAAACCTCTTATCTTGTCTTTTTCCTGGTAGTTGCCTTAGTCTCCTAACTAGTTTCCTGGCAACAATTTTTGTATCTCTACATTCCTCTACCCACCAACAAATTCTTTGCTTAGCACCTTCTTCCTTCCTTCCTTCCTTCCTTCCTTCCTTCCTTCCTTCCTTCCTTCCTTCCTTCCTTCCTTCCTTCCTTCCTTCCTTCCTTCCTTCCTTCCTACTTCTTTTTTGATGATTTAAATTTTGATTTGTGTTGCCCTTATTTAAAAAGCTCATTGTAACTTTTCATTTTGAATAATTATAGCTTCATAGAAAATTACACAATATATTACAGGGAGGTCCCTTGTACCCTTCACCCAGTTTCCCCCACTGGTCACTGCTTACCTAACTAGAATACACTATCAAAACCAGGCAATTGACATCAATGCAATTGATGGGATGCATGCAACTGCTCACACCATGCTTTGGAATGTGCAAACTCATTTGGTCTAACTCTTAAGTTTAATAAATGAGGAATTTAAAAAATGACACTTTCTGGTACAATTTCAAACATATACAAAGGTAGAGAAAATAATGGAAATGATATAGGCCACACCACTTTAACACATATTTTATTGGTTTTATATGCATACACACACATGTGCTTAGGTGTAGTCTTATCATGTATGTGACCACCACCATGATTAAGGTACAGACTGCTTCATCACCCCAGAGACCCCTCATGCTCAAGAATGCTCCTTTAAAACACAACATGATCCTGTCACTGCCTTGTTTGAAACCCTTTAATGGTGTTATAGCCCCAGATCCTTCAGTGAGGGCTGCATGTGCCCATGTACTCTGGCTCCAGCTACCTCCCAGCTGTTCCTTGCCCTTCTCCTGGTGTCTGTGAAGCCTCTGCTCACTGGCCTTTCCCTCTGCTGCGGAGCCTCCACATGTGCTCTTGTTGCCCCTCGGAACCGTCTCCCTTACCCACCCAGCTCACTCCTCATCTGCCGGGTATCAGCTTCAAGATCGTTCTCAGGGAGGGTCTCCTTGATATCTCTGACTGGCTTAGGTGCTCCTGTGGTTTGATTTGGTTCTCCTGTGCCAATTATGATTTTTGTTTACGGCACCTATCACATGATTATAAGTAAATCAATAGGCATGTAGTTTATTGATTTGAGTTCTCTTGGACTGGAGGAGTATAGGGTGTCTGGCTCCCCACTGTATCTTTTCTGTTTAATACAATGGCTAACCTAGCTGTTCTCAATAAATGCCTGTTAAGTTTATGAACAATTACTGTAAGCTGGCTGCTTGTGGCCTAAGGCCACAGAACTGGGCAAAGTCAGCTTGCCTATATAGGTATCTGCTCCATGAACTCATCTTTGATCTTCCCAAGGACACCCTGTCTTAATAATATGAGTATCTATGGCCCGTATCACTCAGAATCTCAAACTGGTGCTTTCTCTTTTACTCCCATCCCTTTATTCTCTCTGAGAGATTGGAATATGGAACAACGCTGACCAGTGTTCTTCTTACACAGATGCTTTCAAGAATGCCAGCTGGGTGTCCATCCAGGCTTTTCATGGAAGACTTCTTTCTCTTTGGGGTCACTGTCGTGGTGACTGCTTTGAGAGGGTTATTAGTTAAGAGCTGTGGGAGTCTGTAAGTTGGGTGGCACCTAAGAAGTCCTTGAAAAGCTTTTGGTTGGCTCTTTCCTTAATGCTTCCACCTGCTATTTGCTAAGTGTCTCCCACTCCCTCACCCCAGCCCCAAGTCATTTCCATCCCCTCACTCTCTCAGGGATAGCTCAGTGTGACTTAGATTTGTGGAGCCTCAAATTTGAAGGATCCTTATGTTGACTGAATAGACAGGATTTCCCCAAGTGACTGTGGTATAACCAGTACTCTGAATATTTGGGAGGGAGCAAATAGGGCTTTCTACTGGGATGTGGTTTGGCCAAGGGGTGGTGGTACCTGTGGAGTTCTGACCAACAGTAGAGGGCCCTAGGTTGGTAGAAATAACCTCGATTGACAGCCCCCACCCCCACCCCCACCATCACCCCCTGCCCCACTGCCCCACCATTTATAGTATCCTTCCTTAGCAGCACATGACCCCTCACATGCCATAGGCAGCACAAGGCACCATCTGCCGGGGGTGGCAGAGTTGGAGCCCTGGGGAAGGGTGGACCCCAGCAGTAGGCAAAGCTGTCAGTTCTTCTGTGAGAGTCAGTAAGGGCTCTGCCCTGAGTGCTCTGGGCAGATTCCTGTCTGGTTCACAGCACTGGGAAACCTGGGAACATCATCCAAGCTTCCCTTCCCTGCCAAATAGAAGGTCAAGGGTCTCCATGTTCTGGGGCTCATAGCTGCCCTCTTACTGCTGGCTTCTCTCTCTTGGGTGAGCTGGGGCTGAGAACAGAGTCTGGCTGTGCAGGCCAGGCCTTGGGTGTTGGTCCCCTGGGGCGGTGTGCTCTAAGGCCACAGCTTAATGTACCTTCCCTGATCTTGCTAGCTTGGCTAACGTTGTACGTGGGATGGAAGAAAGAGTTAGGACCAGCTCCCTGTCCATTTAGGGTAGACCTGACCATTGTGGGTCCTTTGCTAGGCTGCACTTCCTGGCCTGCCCTGCCAGGCCACTTCCCCTTACAGTTCCTGTTCTTGTGCAGGGCGTGGACCTCTGCCGGTCCCCCAAGCCTGGGCATGGGCACTTAAGTACCGCTGTGGTGCCTAACACTGTCCCTGAGCTCTGTCCCTGGGGACCTCACACACACTCTCCCTCCGACCTCCTCCCCTGTGCTTTGAGGCAGTGTAAACAACTCTGCACTTCAGAAGGCCCAGCTCCAAGCAGTCCTTGGGTGTCACTCCTGCCACAGTCAGTGCTGGGGCTTGGGAGGCCATGCTGGTAACCCACGTGGTGCCGTCTTGCTCTGTGCGGGCTGCCGTTTCCTCTCTGTTCCTCTCTGATCACCGCTTTCTCTCCTCATCAGTTGGTTTCAGCTCTGGACAAGGGGACTTGGATGGCATCTCTCCCCAGGAAAAGAGCTAGTGTTCATTTTCCTCTTTGGAGCTCAATCTGATGGATGGTGTTGAAGAGTGGGGGTTGGGGAGGGGGCGACAGCCCATACAGGTCCCTAATTTGTTTTCCAGCCTGTGCTACTCTGCCCTCCCTCCAGTGTGGGCATACATGTGTCTTTGGTTAGTGGTGTTGAGGGAGGACATGTCAGACCCTCTGACCCTAATGCTACCATTCCTGCTTCCTCTAGGTCACCCAACCTGCCTGCAGTTCACCCTGAACATGACTGAAGCCGTCAAGACCTACAAGTGGCAGTGCATAGAGTGCAAATCCTGCATCCTTTGTGGGACCTCAGAGAATGATGTGAGTTTGGGGCTTCCTTCATAGGAGGCAGACATCCAAGGAGCTGGGAGTCCTTTGAAGGGTGGAAAGGAAGGCAGGACTCTTGTCACTGGACTACTGGGGACAGTGTCAGTCAGGACCTCCCGCTTGCCCTTTGCCCCCAGAATCCATGGGACCTTTGTCCAACAGGGACCTGTGTCAGTGGAGAGAGGTGCGTGAGGGGACGACCAGAAGCCACCTTGTTGACCATCTGCCCCTGAAGGCTCAGTGACAGATAGTGGTGCCGCCTGTGGGTGGTTGGGATGCATGCAACTGTTCACATCACGCTTTGGAATGTGCAATCTCATTTGGTCTAACTGTTCAGTTTAATAAATGAGGAATTTAAAAAATGACACTTTCTGGCACAGATAATTTCAAACATATACAAAGGTAGAGAAAATAATGGAAATGATATAGGCCACACCACTTTAACAATGATCACTACATGTCCAATCATCTTGTTTCATAAATACTGCCACCTCTTTCCACATAGTCCCTGTCATGGTATCATTTCATCTGTAAATATTTCACAAGTATCTAAAAAAGATAAGGGCTTACTTTTTAACAAAAATAAATTAATATTAACATAGCTTAAAAAAAGTAATTCTTTAATATAATCAAACATCCAGTCTACATTCCTATTGCCTCAATTGTCATAAATGTTGACTTAATTGTCTTACGTGCACTTTTTTTTACAGCTTATTTATTTGAATTGGGATCCTGGGAAGGCCCAGACAGTGGAATTAATTTATGTCTTTCAAGTTTCTTTTAATATAGGTTTTCCCTCCATTTTGCTCTTTTTTTCCCCTTGAATTTTTGTTGAGTAGACCAGGGTTAATTTGTTCAACAGAGTTTCCTAGGACTGCATTTTTACTAACTGCATCCCTGTGGTGGTGGTTGACATTTTCTCTCTCATATTTTATTATAAGTTGGTGCTTAGAGCCAGAACCTTGATCAGATTCAGTCTTTCTCTCTTTTTGTCTCCCTCTAATATAAAACATATATACATTCACACACACACACACACACATACATACATACATACACACACACATACACACGTACATATATACTCATATATTTGGCCAGACCACTTCATAAATCATGATGTAAACTTTCATCAATAGTGTATTGCCTGGTGTCTCTTCGCAGATGTTTGATGATCTGCAAATGTTCATTTGCTAATGAATGCTTGATCATCTTTTATCAATGATCTGACTAGACTGACTATTTCATTAGAGGTTACAAAATTGTGATATTCTTACTTTGTAATTTCTTCTTTGTTTATTAGCTGGAGTAATTCTGCAAACAGGAACTTTTCCAACCTCATGTTTGATTACCTTTGGGTATAGATTATATAGAAAAGGGAGATAAGTGCTTGATTCTTTCCCTTTATTTATCAGTTTTCAAAATAACATGGTGGTTTCAACAGCTGTTCATGATAAAAACTCCCAAAAAAATAGGAATTGTGGGATACTTTCTTAATATGATAAACTCTTCATACCTTAGAACTAAAGCCATTATCTTACTTAATAGGGAAACTATTGGGATTTCTAGTAAGACCAGGAGGATGCACACTATCTCTACTACTATTCAATATTATTCTAGAGATATTAGCTAATGCAACTAGACAAGAGGAATCAACTGGAGGGATAAGAATAGTAATAAAGTAGTAAAACTTTCTCTGTTTCATAAACTATAATCTATCTGGAAGCTGGAGAATCATTGATAAAGCTAACTCAAACATTGAAGGTAGCAGGATAAAATGTTACCATATAAAAACTAATAGCCTTCATATACACAAATAATAACCAGTTGGAGGACACAGTAGTAGAAAAACCCTATCTATAAAGCAACAAAGAAGAAATACTTGGAAATAAGTATAGTAAATATATAAATCCTATATGAAGAAAATTTAAAAAACACTTTGAAAAGACTCAGAAGTTGATTTGAGAATATGGAGAGACATTGTGTAACATTGGAGAGAATGACTCAATATTATAAAGATATCAGTTTTTCCTAAGTTAATTTATAAATTTAATTCAAGCCCAATAAAAACATGAATAAGCTCTTTTATGGAACTAGATAAGTTACACTAAAGTTCATATGGAAAAATAAACAGGCAATAATAGTGAAGAAAACACTGAAAAACAAAAATTTTGAGAGGAGACTAGCTTTGCCAGAGGTTAAAACATACTATAAAGCCTTTATAATAAAACAGTATAGACAAATAGGCCTAAGGAGTAGAACAGGAAACCTATAAATTAACCCAACTCCATATGGACATTTAGAATAGGATAAAGGTTGCATCTAAAATTACTAGCTCAAAGATAGACATTTTCATGAATAGTCCTGGAATAATAGGGTAAACCATTTGTGAAAAGATAGAATTAGGTCTATATGTCACATAACGCATGAGAACAGCCTCCAAATTTTCTGGAGATCTAAATATATGAAATGAAATCATATTAATACTAGAAGAAAAGATGGGTGAATTCCTCTTTAATCTAAATATAAGGAAAGATTTTCTGTGACTTAAAATCCAGAAGCAATAAAAGAAAACATCAACAAATTTGACCCATAACTTGGATACTCAAAAACATGATAAAGTAAAAACACAAGTGACAAACTGGGAGAAAATATTTACAGCTATATAACTATTCAAAGATGAATACCCCTAATATATAAAGACCTCTTAGAATTTGAGGGACAAGGGACCAGAAACCTGATAGAAAATGGGGAAAATACATGAAAGACAGTTCACAAAAGATAAGAAAATGGCCTCTAAGCATTAAAAAAAATTCAAAACATTCATAATTAAAGAAATTCAAATTAAAACTGAGATACCATTTCTTACCTATAAAATAGGAAAAAAAAGTTGGGCAATATATTCTGTTGATGAAGTTGTGAGAAAACTGGCACCCTCATACACTGTCACTGTGAACACAAAGTGCTACAATCCTTCTGGAGGGAAATTCAGCAATTAGCTTTTGACTCAGCAATCTCAGCTATCAGAATCTACCCTAAAGATGAAATCTACCCACAACACTATGAAAGTACATTTGCACAATGTCCTTGTAGGTCACACTGTACTTGTAACTGTAAAATATTAGAAATGACCTAAGTGCTCATACATATAAGAATGGTTGAATAAATGATGACACAACCACACAGTGGAGTAGTATGTAGCTATAAAAAACAAAAAGGAGGCAGATTAATATAAGTGAATTTTAGGGAATATTGTTAAATGAAAGAAGCAAAGTAAAAGCAATATTTATATTTACAGTATACAGCCATTCTTTTAAGGAAGGCACAGAAAATATACATGTTTACTTTGGTAAAAGAAATACAGGAAGGATAATAAACCAAAGAGATTAGTTATCCATGGGGTGAGTGGGAATAGGGTAGAAAGAATGGGTGTGGGGTAGTAGAGATAAGGGAGTGGGGGACTCTTTTCTGAGAATGCCTTTTTGTGTAGCTCTGACTCTGAGAACCAATGTGTCATTTTACATACCCTACTACAGATAAATATTGGAAATCAACCAGGATGTGGGAGAGGGGGATAAAAAATGGGATATGAACAGGAGCAAATGAACCTCATTATAATATCAAAAGATAACATTAACATAACCATACTGATGGATGGGGAAGGAAAGAGCTAACCTAAGTAACTTTGGAAAGCAGAATTTAACTGTATTTTAAGGCTAAAGACAGAATTAGCTATACAAAAATTGTACTCTAGATAGTAATTTTTTTCTCACAGGCATGTGAGCTGGTCATTTTGAATCGATTTTATGTATATACAGATCTGAGCTAATAACAATATATTGTGAATAATGAGAGCCAGGTTTCTCAATGTGAGAAAAAAATAATCAAATAAAAGGGAAAGGTTAGACCGAACCTTGTGGTGGTGGGTTGGAATAGGGGATATCAGTATGAATTTATGGTTTTTAATATAATATATTGTATGTATATGTATATATGCTTATATATTATATATCTATAGCTATATGTATACACACATATGGATAGGTACAGAAATAAGTACAGACATGTGCATGTGTACCTACATATACATTTATTTCCTAACACTGTCAGCTAAGGACTAAAAACAATGACAACTCTGAAATAATGAGGACTCATAGCACCTAGATATTGGTTTCTAAGTACCATTCTCCAATAAAAGGAACCAAGGATCCTTAGAGAAATGGCTGATGCCAGGGCTGGAGCTGGGAAAGTATAAGAGAAGCCTGGCACATCCTGTGGTACTAGAAAGTAAGGAAGTGCTCAAAAGTTGATAGGGCATGTCAAAAGGATGCAGAAACCAACTCGAGGCAACTCTTAATGGCCCAATCTGGGATAATTTGAGCAACAAAGTAAATAATGATTGTATTGGATTATAACCCAAAAAACAAAATAAATATCCATGCAGAGCAAAACTCTAATTAATAAATGAAGAGGGAAGAGGGAAATCATCAATAGGCAGATATAACAGTTATGGTTGGTATAAGCAAGAACTATCAACTGCTCTAAAATTAGCAAAATTATGGTGAGAAACAGAATATTTGCATAGTTTCAAAGTATCTCCCCTACCAGATTACTTACTAATATATTACAAAGGGAAAAATCATAACTTTACAGTGGAAAAACTGGCAGATACTACCTTAACTATGTGATCACAGTAACATTACCAGTGTACAAGACATATTGATGTCAGTGCCCCCTGATATCTTGCACTGAGGAGGGCACAACATCTCTTTTGTATTTAGTATTCTTGCCAAAAATGCATACCCCTGACCTTCTTATGAAAAAAAGTCAGACAAACACATATTGAGTGACATTCTACAAAGTCACTGGCCTGGATTCTTCAAGTGTCAAGGTCATGAAAGGCAAGAAGCTGAGGAACTGTCACAGATTCACGACACTAAGAAAACATGACAACTAAGTGCAATGTGGGATCCTGGATTGGATCCTAAGAGAAGGGATGTTGTAAATGAGAAAACTGGTAAAATCCAAATGAGTTCTGCCTATGAGTCAGTAGTATCTTGCTCATGGTTATGTTCTGCTTTTCATGGTTGTACTATGGTAATGTAAGAAGTTAACATTAAAGGCAGCTGAGTAAAGTGTGTTCAGAAACTCTCTGTGCCATTTTTGCAACTTTCTCTAGAACTAAAATTATTTCAAAATAATAAATAAAAAAATAATGGAATATTTCCCTAGCATCTTCCAAAGGTGACGAAGTTTAAAAAAAAATAGTGTCTTTATTTAAATATATTTGTTTCAATCTATTAATTAATTAAATTAAAATCATCCCATCTTTGGCCAGTGAGAACATAATCAGTTTGGATCCTGAGTCCTTTTGACATGATCCCAGTCATATCTGATAGTTTCCCTGCTTTCCAATATGTAAAGATACTTACACATTTCATGTTCCAGACCTTGAGTCAGCCATTTCTCTGAGGACTGCTGGTTCCTTTTAGTGGGCAATTGTCTTTAGAGAACATAATATGGGTGCTGAGGGTGCTAATTTTTACTGTATGAGTCATCATTTTGGGGCATTTTTAATGGGCAGAGCTAAAAAATATGTTTTGCTCATTTTAAAGATCAAATGAATTTATACTGATATTTCCAGTTCATACCAAGGGCTAATTATAGTTTGTAGTTAACCTCATTGATCGTATAGCTGTATTTTCTTTCAATCACGTAAAAATTCTTGCTTCTCAATACCAACATAATCACTTATTTGATATAGACGAATATCTCAGGATATCAATTCCACTATTACCATAAAAAATATATACTGGTTCCAGAATCAAATACATAAAATAAACTGTATGTTCAAAGAAATCTAGCTTCTATCCCTACCTTTAACACTATTCCCCCACTCTACTTATAGGTTACCATCTGAAAAACAAATTATTGTTTATCTTTCTATTTTGTCTAAATATAAGTACATGTGTGTATACATGAATCTACAGGAAAATGGATGCATTTTCTTAGAAAATAGTAATATATACATGTTTTCTTCACCTTGTCTTTTCATTGAATATTCTGGAGATTATTCCACAATAATATATAGACATAATTATTCCTTTCTATAGCTGTATAGTTCTTCATTAGTTTATTCAACCAGTCCCTTAGTGATGGGCATTTGGGTTGATTCTGGTCTTTACAAGCAGTGTTAATAGGTTAATAGCCAAGTAGGTTTTCTGTTGACTTGGCAGAGCCTTAGAAAAGGGATCAAGGAGTGAGGATGCTTGAGCAATAGCATTCCTCGTCCATAGTCAGGGATTTACCCTCCATTCCCCAGAATGAGATTACCATTCTGCTGGAAATGTAGCTGTAGGTGGATCCTGAGTCTTGGATCCTTGGAAGTAAGAGGTCCTTAAATTGTGCTTTTCATGGGGGCTACCATGAGCTGGAGGGTTCTTCGTTGTTGTGACAGGCAATTATCCTGAAAAGCAGATGGAAAAGAAGAGGAATATGGTGCTAGACAATGACCAGCCTCTGAAAACTGCACATAAACCACAGATGCTTGGTTTCCCTTGGAAAAGTGCAATCCAGGGTATTCTACCTTCTTGTATTTCTTGTGTCAGCACTGTAGTAGGAATTATCGATGTTTTTAAGACATTAGTAGTACTATTTCTGATAAGTCTCCCTACTTCTGTCCCCATCCTAATTTCTCCCTATATTATTTTAAAATTATATTGTCATATAGTTTATTTCAGCTCAAACAATAATGGTGTAACTTTTTTGGGGCAAACCATACTGTCCTGGTTTTCATCCTACCTCTTTGTTGCTGCTTCTTATTCTCTTTTATCACTGCCTGTCCCTTAAAGTTGGTGTTCCCCAAGGGTCTATTCTTATCCCTCTTCTCAGTAATCTTTTTTGAGTCCTTGATTTTTCAGAAGATTCCCTGAGAGTTTTGCGTTTACTCTTTACTCGGAAAAATGTGTATTTGCACCTATACACAGAGTTGTGTACATAATTTCAAGGAGTTCATGGACATACCTCCCTGAGCACAAGTTAAAGACTATTTGCTCTCATATACTGTGGGCTCCCTCTCTTATTCCTATCTAATCCCCAATGACTCCCAAACCCATGTCTCATGCTCAGGCCTCTCTCCTGATATCCAGCTCCAGGGCATCCCCACTGGGTGGTCTGTACATGTCTAATAGCTGAGGTTCCTTCTGTCTTCCATGGATCTTCACCTGTCTCAATGGGTAGCTCAAGTATCTGGCTTTCTGACCAAGCCACAACCTAGGAGACATTCTTGATTTCTTCCTTGTCATGCTCCACATCAAATCAGTAACTCTTAAATGGGAACAAGACACTTTTCTTTCTCCCATGCCACAACCCTAGTTCAATCCACCATCATTTCTTACCTGGGTGGCTATTGTAGCCTCCTAAATGGTCTTCTGGACTCTAGAACCAACTTCTTTCCACCAGGGTATCTATTCTTATGCAGCAGCTCATGAAGTGTTTCTAAAGTGCAAATCTGATCATGTAACTCCTCCATTACTAACTCTTCAAAAGCTTCTCATTGCCTCAGTGAAAGGTGTAAGCATGATTTTTTTAAAAAAGGTCTTTCATGACCTCTCCTGCCTTACTGTTCACTCACTGGGGTTTCCAGCTTCTGTATTTACCTTTCCCAGGATCTCCACAGTGGTGGGAGCTAGGGTAAAATCTGATACAAAACCTAATTTTGCAAACATCTTATAAGCTACCCAAACAGGTCATGATCACTGAATGGAAGAGGGTTGAACCTGGAGAATGGGGACCAGATCACAAACACTGAGTAGCCACTATGTGTAAGGAAGTTCTGAGGGAGGTGTGGAGATGAGACAGGGTTCTTCTCCATGAGCCTTACAGTTCATAAAGGAGTAGACAAAGGAGGCACATTCCAAATGGACTATTCAAGAATACAATTGTGTGTAGATGTCTACCACATAGCAGGCTTTGTAGCATAAAGGAAAATTCAGTTAAATGTCACAAGTATGTGAAAATACTTTAGGGATGTAAAAGGGGAAAGAAAACTTCCATTTGAGGTAGATTCATGAAATCTTTTAGAAGAGGAGATTTTGAAGACTTGAAGGGTGGGTAGGAAATGTTCCAGAAGAGAAGGGGTGGGGACTGGGCGAGCCTCCAGGGAGAGGGAACTGCAGGACCAAAGGTGCACACTGTGTTTTTTGAAGTTAACCACACCGCTGGAGGGTCCTACTCTCTCCTGGGCTCCAGCCTCTAGTCCCTGAGGAGGCTTTTCGGAGCTGAAGCTGAAGTGAATGAACATCGCTTGCATTTCTCTACATTTGCATAATGAAACCCTAAAAAAGTTGTGAGGTGTCATGGGTATTACCTCTATTATAGTTGTTGCCCATTTCACAGATGGAAAGAGTGAAGTTAAGAGGCATTCAGTGAAAATTTTCAAACATTTAAAGTACTTTCTATGTACCAGGCAATTATCCTGGGGAATACAGAAATGCATAAAATTAGTTTTCTGCCCTTATGGAAGCAGAGTTATTGGCTACAGGAGGTCAGAAGAATAAGGAATCCCCCTAAGCTCAGACGTGAGGTGGTAGTCAAGAAGGCTTCTTGGAGGAAGTATGATTTGAGTAGAACCCTAAAGTGGGGATAGGATTTTCATAGTGGGAGAGGCAGAGGTGGAATTTCCAGGTGTGGGCAAAGCACAAGGCACAGTCAGGGGACAGTGAGGATTCTAAGTGGGGCCTGAACAGGGGCATCTAGGGATGTTGGTCTGTGGAGACAAGGCTGGAAGAGTAGGTGAGGGCAGATATTGGCCCTAAATAACTCAATCTCTCTCTTCTCCTCTCTACCTACTCTGTATCCCACCAGGACCAGCTGCTCTTCTGTGATGACTGTGACCGTGGCTATCACATGTACTGCTTAAATCCCCCGGTGGCTGAGCCCCCAGAAGGTAATGGTGATGAGGTTGACAGTAACAGCAGCTACTACTCCCATTTTATTGAGCCACCACCACGGTGCAGTCCTTGTGCTAAGGACTTTACATGTCTTATCTCGTTTAATCACCACAACCCTACAAGGTAGGTATGACCACTACCATTTTATGGAGGAGGAGACTGAGGCACAGTTCAGACAGCTGAAGTTTCAGCTTGAGGGCCAAGGAAACATCTCCAGGACATACGGCTGAGCTGGTGGGGAGGTGTAAGCTTCCAGGAGGACTGGCCTGGGCCTGGTGGTGCTGGTTAAGAGGCGCAGTCAAGGAGTCAGGGTCTTTATAGCAGTTCAGCTGATCAGCTCTGTGCACGTAGTGTTTTCTGAGCAGCACTTACTCTCTGCTGAGCCAGAGACTGCAGCACGTTTTCAGGACTGAGATGTGTCTCTGAACTGTGAAAGTCAAAAGAAAATAGGGCTTCCAAGAAGTTAGGGCCAAGGGGTGGGGCTTGAGGGGTGAGAGGGGCCTGCTAGTAAACCATCTTGTTCCTTACAGGAAGCTGGAGCTGCCATTTATGCTGGGAACTACTCAAAGAAAAAGCCTCAGCCTTTGGCTGCCAAGCCTAAGGGCTCAGGTCACAGAATGTGACTTGCTGCTGGAGAGGCTGAAGCAGAGCCCACTTCAAACCAGATTGAGCCCCCACTCCCACATATCCGACAGACCAACTGTAAGGAAAACCGGTGGTCACAGAGGGTGGGGACATGAGGAATAAAGAAGGCAAGGTGTCTGCCTCCTCCACACAGGTCTCGGTTCTTTAGCCAGACCCTCCTTGTCTCTACCAGAGGATCTTGCACTTTTGAAGAACAACCCCAGGCCTGGCCCCGTGGCACCCCTCTTATATTTACCCTTTCCCTGCAGCCCCCTCAGCGACTCCCATTTTAAGGGGAGCCATTTTGTGACCACTTGTGAATCATTTATGTGTAGCTTGGTGTTTTCTATCTATTGTGTTCTAAGAAACCTTCACACAGCCTCCTGCCTCCAGCTTAGGCTCTTTATCCTGAAATCAGCAGAGGAACAGGGCTGTGGAGAAGTTGTTATTTATCACAAGCCTCTCTGGAAACTTCTAGACTCAGAGCCTGCAGACCATCTTGATGATGAAAATCCTTCCTGTTCTTTGGTTTCTGTGAAGAGGAAGAGCTGCTTTCTGGGCCCCCAGCAGGTGGCCCCAGGGATATCCACAGCCAGGGTAGTCTCTTGATGGGGTCAGGGAGGGAAGCAGAGGCACTGAGGGGTGGGAAGAACATTGTGAGGATAATTCTAAGGCCCTGCCGTGGCCAGTCAGTATTTGCTATCCATTTGGAGTGACTTTACAAGGGAGCAGGCGGTGAGGTTCCTTGACCTTACAGACGGGCCTCCTTGTGGTGAGACAAGCCACAGCCTATGGTGGCAGAAGAGGCTGAGACCGTCTCCCAACCAGCTCAGGTCTGGAGCTCTCCCTGGTGGGACTGTATAGCCAGGAAGGGGAGTGAAGGCTGCCTGGTCAAGAATCCGAATGCCGGTGCAAAGGACTGTAGTTGAGAACCTTTTCAGTATTGGTGAGGCACAATGAACTCCCTTTCCCATGTGATGTCTTCCTTCCGCACAGTCTACATTTGCCATTGTCTACTGAGACCCAACTCTGGAAATTTTAGGATGGGGGAGAGATGATTGTTCCCAGAACATATAATTGGGGTGATGTGATTATTTATGATCAAGGTGGCAAGAACGCAGAGCCCTCGGCTGGAGGGCTGCTCTTGTCTCCTAAGCAACCCAGTATGTGCTGGACTCTTATTTTCAAAAAAGAAAATGTCTTGAGAAGAAGAAAAAGGAGGCTCAGATTCTGAGAAGTCTGGGTTGGAAGTCAGCCCCGCGGGCTGGAGTGGATGGGCACCTTTGAATCTCAGCAGCAGTGTTTAACAGCAGCACAATAACTGACACTTCTGGAAAAATCATTTGCCCAAAGGGCAGGTCTCGGCAAGTGGGACCCTCGCGCATGCTCGGCTTCCCTGAAATCAGCTCCATCTCTGTGGTCCGGCTGCTTACAACAAAGGCTGAGGTTATTTTTAGCCCTTCAGCTCCTGAAGAAGCCTCTGGAGACACAGAGACTCGGGCTAGTTGGGCCACTACTGCCCATCTGCTGTGTTCGCTCCAAGGCTTGGCAAGAGCCCTCCTCCCCAGCTAATTGCACTTGGCCAGTGGACCCCGGGCAGCCTGGCGTGGGGCCAAGCGGTGCTGGTCTTCCCGCGTCCTTTGCAGGGTGACCCGTGGCAGGAGATGGGGGTCATTCTCCTGCAGGGGCCTGTGGCCTTGAAATGAGTTACATGCATACATGATGATCTCATTTAAAGGGTCCTGTCCAGATGGGATTTTCATCTTCCTTGTAAGATATTTCCTTCCCTTTGCTGATTCGTGAGCCTGTTCTGAATTCTGGAGTCCAGGGAAGGTTTGGGAAGCTGCTTTGTTAGAACGTTATCTGTTTACCTGGCAGGGTCACATCAGAGGGGCTGTTTCCTCTCCCGATTGCTTTGACTCTCTCTCCTCCCACAAAACCCCAAGTGGGGTGTCTCCAAAGGCCAATTATTGGTTTTGCAAATCATTTTGACTTAATTTTAGAAAGAATGTTACCAATATGTTCCCAAGTGCCACAGTGGCTTAAAAGTTATAAAAGCAAATCTGAAACCAAAACCTGTGGCCCTTATACTTGACACACTCTTTAGAGGGTGTGCAAGTCTGTTGCCCACCTCAACATAGGTGTTGGGGTGGCCCTGTTCCATCTCCAGCCATGCCTGCTGCCCCCAGAAGCTGTGAGGAAGGGATTGAGGGTCGCAGACCAAGAAGGGTGCTGTGAGCTGCTGCCTGGTGGGGTGCTCAGGGCACTAGAAGGAATTGTAGGAAGGCCCAGAGTTCCCTTCCCAGTTCATTCCCAACAGGATAGGCCCAACTCCTTCCTCTCTGGAGATCCCAGTGTTCCCCATCTAGAAAGTAGGGACAGCAAAGGTGGCTTGTGGGCTGGCACGGTCAGGGTACTGCAAGCAAAGGCCTCCATTTGATTGCCTTCTGTATTGAGAAAGGAAGGTGATGGCAAACTTCAAATTGGAGCCCCAGAGAATGAGCTAAAACCATAGTACACATGGTTGATCAGGGTTTTAGTTTTGCCTCTGCCATTGAGTAGCTGTGTGACCTTGGGCAAGTCTTTTACCATCTCTGAACCTCAGTTTGCCCACTGGTGAAATGGAAGTAATAATACTTGCCCTGTCTGTCCCACAGTGACATTGGTAGTCCTAAGATGTGAAATGTTGCGTAAATAACTACTGAAGAGCAGGGCTTGTCAGGGAGGGACCCGAGTGATTTCTGTGACTCCTTTTTTGTGAGTTAGCTGGTTAGACACCTTCTTAGAACCTCCGTTTTGGCCAAAGGGAGTTTATGTTTTAAGGGCCGGGCTGCCTGTGGTCAGGGCCTCCAGGCCAAAGAGGAGACAAGGAAACCATTACTGTGCATAGGTCTCCATTGGTGAGAGGTGAGGGATTTATCTGGGGCTGTGGAACTTCCGAATAAAGATACTAAAGATACTCCCTTCTGCAAGATGAATGCAGCCTAGGATGAGGAGCTACCTTCTGGAGAGAGTTACAATTCAGTTCAGTGTAATAGTCACTTAAATGCTTTGGTTTAAAGCCCAGCTCTACTTCTGGCTAGCTGGTTGATCTTAGACAAATGATTTAACCTCTCTGAGCCTCATTTTTCACATGTATCAGGTGGGCTCATCCAGCAGGACTGTTTCAGGGATTGCGGGTAATGCTGATGAAGATTCTGGCATAGGGTCTAGCATGATGAAGGCTCCCACATCATGTCATTGTGTACAGAGGCCACCAAGTTGAGGGAATGATGATGCTATTGTCTCCCAGCGCAAATCCCTGGACAGCCAGGGTGCCTTTAGCAGCTCCACCCTGTGTTGATGTCGTGGCTCCAGCCAACCAGAGAGGAGGTGAGGCAGCAGGATCCAAGCCGGAAGCTGAAACCCTCTGTTTCCTGTAGTTATTTTTGAAACACTGCTTTTTGAGCCTGCGGCAAATCCAGTGCAGGCAACCTTGTGAGGAAATAGAAACAAGGACCCCACTAGATTTACATTCTGGCTTTCCTTCTCAACCCTCCATTGACTCATAGCCCCTAAGGCAGGAGCCAGGGGCCGCTGCTCCTGTCCATGCCCCCCGAGGCCAGGGAGGAGCAGAGGCAGGCCAGAGGGCAGCTGCTGCCCCAGGCTCAGCTCAGATGTCTGAGTAGCTGGAAGAGCTGTGGGTGAGAGGGAGGGAGGCCAGATTCCTTCTGGGGGGTAACAGGTTTTAAGAGAGGCAGAGGGTTTGGGTTTCACAGTGATGGTTTCATGATACCCTGAAGAGTGACACGGTGCATTTTCGTCTCTGTGCTTTGAACACTGCAAGATTCCTTTTGGCCCAACCCTTAAAAAGTTCAGATATTTTAAGGAGGAAAAAATGAGATGATTATTACTACTTTTCCTGTTGGGGCAAGCTGAGGGGACAGACCTATGCTCTTGAAGAAAGATCACTGGAAACCTCAGGCTTTGGGACTTAAAGAAAAGGGGCCCCTAGTTTCCTCCTTGAATCCTGTGTCAGGGGTGGGGAGCCCTGAGGGTGCCCTTCCCTGCCCCTAAGCAGGTTCTCAGTGGGTTTTTGCAAGAGCAGGGACAGCAGCCCACTCCTTCATGCATCCCTGTCACCCAGGCCCTCCTGGGCTGCCAGCACAGGCCCTTCCTCAGGGCGTGGCTGTGCCACAACCCAAGGGAAATGGTGGCTGCCCAGGCCAGAACCATGCTCACCTCCCAGGGAAGATGCCCAGACATGCCGCACCTGGCTCCTTTTGGGAGCAGGGCACAGCTGGAGAGGTGCAGGCTTGGAGAAAGGGGTGGGGAGGGTCAGAGAGAGGAGGGGGGAGGTCCTTGAGGAGGGGGCCATGACCCTGATTTTCACTTGGGAAGAAGTCCTGAAGCTAAATACCAGGGAGCGTGGGGTGGAAAGGAAGAGTTATTGTAACACATATTTTCTCAGGCCTGTGATCCTGAAAAAAAAAAAAAAGAAGGCCAAACCTTTACCCGGTTCTGGACACCAAGCCAGGCCCGCTGGCCTCCAGCTCCCTGTTGGTCGAGGGGTCCCTCACCCAGCTGGAGCTGTGAGGCTGGATCCCAGTGGATTTCCTACTCCCATGAGAGAAGGGTCCTAACTTACCGAGAGGGATGTTGAGGTCCCTCCTGGCCTGGACGGGGTGGGAGAGGTTGGCGGGGAGGGAGATGGCAGCAGAGGATGGGCTAGATCATGGCCTGCAGCCTTGAGGAGGGGATAGTTTCTGGGCCCTGCTACCTAGGGGACAGATCAGGAGGCCTCCCCTTTCATAAGCTCAGGATGTCAGTTGCTGAGGGGGTCAAGAAAGGGGGACCCTGGCTGGTCCTGTCTCCCCACCACCCAGCAAGTGGATGGGGTTCCTCTTCCTCTCTTGGCGTGTTCCACTTTTTGAAGTCTTATTCCCACCTGCATAGGTTTTGGTTCCTAGATCATCCAAGTTCACCTGGATTCCAGGTGAGGGTTGGGGAAGATGGTAGGAAGCAACAGATGCTTTAATTTGCCTCAGGCCTGCCAGTCTCCCCCTCGAAGCCCCCGGCCCTACTGGTTTCTGACTTATGGGCGGCTGGAGGTGGGCCCTGCGGTGGTCTGTGATTGGAGTTCCCTGCTCCTGGCCGAACAGCCCCAGGGCTTGGAGGTCTGTGTGGTTCTCTGGGGGGGCCAGCAATCCTGGGTGTAGAAGCATCAGAAGGGGGATTGGTTTGGCCTTTGCGGTGACTAGAGGAAGGTCTTTGACTCTGGGAAGCCGGATCCCTTCCTAAGAAGGCTGGAGACCCTGTGTGAGGGGACAGGTGAGGTCATTGTTCCGAGAGGGAGACAAGGGGGCGGTGGTGGGGGGGGCGCGGAGTGGAAGATGTCAGTGCCAGCTGTTGGGTGCGTGTGGGAGGTTGAACAGAGCCCCCAGAGGGGAGTGGGCGCTGCTTTTGAGCACCTCGGCAGCTGCTTCCAGGGAGGCTTGGCTGCACAGCCCCCTCTCCGTGCCTCCAGCATGAGCTGCTGCGGGGAGAGGCCCAGAGGAAGCACCTCAAGTAACCTGTGAGGAGAGGGGTCCGGACCTCGGCCCCTCCCTGTCCAGTCGGTTTTCCAGAAGGAACAGGTGTGGGGGGAAAGGCTGGAAGTGGGCGGGTTCCCAGGAAAGGCGTTCTGGGTCTGCGTGGGCCCTGGCTGTGTCCCTGCAGACAGCTGAGACCTGAGGTCACTCTCCCAGGCCCCATGGGGCTGTGGGGCACTGGGAGCAGGTGAAATAGGTCAGAGGGCACAGCAATGCCCCTTGGTCACCGTTCCTTTGTTTTCAGCTCCCTCTCTTTGCTCCAGTGCCTTGAAAGAGGGCCATTCCAGGGTTTCCCCTCTTTGGCCCCAAGAGAAGAAAGTATTTGTGCTGATGGTGACATTTCCCAGGCAGGCCAGAGGAAGGCAGGAACCAGGACTGGCGGGCAGCCAGAACCCTCTGGAACAGAGGTATAAATACTAATAATGACCTCTAGCCCAGGCAGTGAGCAAAGTGGCCATTCAGGGTGGCACTAACCCAGTCAGGCAAATGAATAATACTACTGTGGTGGGAAGGGAAGGTGAGTAAGCAGTCCCTGTAGGAACGCGGGAGGCCCGTGAATCCTGGACCTGTACTTTCCCTCAGCAGCCTCTCTGGGTTCTGTTTTCACTCACTGCATCCCTTTGCTTGTGTCTCTGCAGCCCTATTATTTCTATCATTGTTATTAAAATTAATGATGAAAACAGCGACACACACACACACCGCTTGCTTAAAGTGAACCTTATGTTTTGCTCCAGGACGGGAGGGAGAACTTGCCCATCACCAGGGGGCCTTTCCCTGAGGTCCTCCAGGCCCATTCCCCAGCCTCCAGCCCTGTCCAGCCACAGCAAGTTGTGGAGGGAGCCTTGTGCTTGGAGGACCGTTGGCTGGAAGGACCCTTTCCTCTCTCCCCCTCACTCACTTCTGTTTCTCTGGGAAAGACTTTTGGCACTAGTTGGAGATCTGGAAAAAAGAAAGTCTTGACTCTGCTTTCTGTCAAATGGATGCAAAGATTTTATAGCTAGAATCGGGGCTGTGGTTTTTACTGACTTTGCTCTCACCTGTTTATTCCCCACCTGAGACCATGGTTCTCTTGCTTAGCCTGCCTGCTCTGTCCCGCACCTTCCCCTCGCCTCCCTCCTGCCATGCGGGATGCTGAAGGGTGGCATGGTGGTGGGTAGAAGCAGTGGCCCAAAAGAAAAATAAAATATACCCCCTGCACATTTGCAACATGTAGTTGAAGAGGCCTAAATTAGGCACTAGATAAAAAGGTAAGAAACACTGCTAGATAATATGTAAGGGAGAGCATGAAAATAGGGAACGGTTATCTCAGAGCAGAGTGGGTGGGAAGCATGCGGCTGGAGATAGCGTAGCCCTGGCTTACCCATGCATTTGGTCCACATGGCATTGAGAAAAGCAGAGAAGTCACGCTGTGGCAGTAAATGGTCAGATGCTTAGGCAGTCTTTGTGCCTCTGGCCGGGAAGAGGATCCATCCTAGTTGTCCCCCACTCATCTGTGCTGTTTGCCCACTCTGGGCAATTTTCCTCTGAAGGAACATGAACACATTTCTTGCCAGCCACAGAGGATTGCTGGGCAGGCTGGCTGAAACATGTGGCAGGGCACTGACCAGCAGGGCGATGCACTAGGTCCTGTAGGAGCTGAAAAAATAAACCGTATCCTGACCCGGACTTCAAGCTGCTATTCAGCCCTATAATTACACTCTCCCAAGACATTTTGATCATACATCAGGTAGCATGCCATCAGGAAAGTGTATGTGTATTTAGGTCTATTTATGGTCATGTATTTTCACTGACAGAAGATGACCAAGCTAAATCATCCAGTTATTTCCACCCTCTGAAGTTGGAGGGAAGAACACAGTGGACCTCAGCCTACTTGGTTTTATCCATTTTTGCAGGTACTGGCTGCCCTTGGAAGCTGACCATCCTTAACATGAACGTCAGTGAGACAATGAAGGCACCTGGGTTGTAACGGGTCAAGCAGCCAAAGGGAACTGAGGCTGTCCCCAAAAGCTGCTTGTGGACTCCAGGGTAGTGAGCAGGGAGGTGCAATTGGCAGGGCCTGATCAGAGGTGGAAAGTGACCCACACAATGGTCTTGTTCAGTCCCCACTAGAAAAATGGGCATGGTTGGATGGGGGCCTCATGCTCAGACTGGGTGGACTACCACAGAGACTCCAGCCAGCCTGACTCGGCCTCGTGTGTGTTTCTGGCACGGGGTTGTGTGGCCAGAAGCCCAATGTCAATACACCAGGAAGCCTCTTGTGCCCACCCTCTGCCCTGTGCTTGTCAGATTCTGGCTTCACGCTTTGTCGTCTCCCTGTTGTCTGTGTTGACAGCATTTGTTCCATCCCCTTTTTTCTCTGCACTTGTCGCAGCCAGATTTCAGCTTTGAGTTACTCCCTGAAGAAACCTCACCAAGTTTGCTTTCAAGCTAAATGCCTGGGCTTGGGGAAAGTCATGTGTCTACCCATGGGTGGGTGTCGGCTCAGGGCTGCCTAAAGCAGCCCTTGCCTTTTCTGTAGGGGAAGCCCCAGGGAAGGCTCTGAAGGTCCCTGGACAGCACAGGACAGCAGAATTTGGGTGACCTCTGGAGAGATTCAGGGACACAAGCTTTTATGACGCTTGCTTGTGAGTCTGGTTTTAAAGTGCTTGAGAACCCGAAATGCATTCTGGGGTTTGATCCACCATCCATTTGAAAGCCTGTGGGTGAGGTCCTTTTGAACCCAGCCTCCTTTGAGTGACCTATTTCCAGACCTGCAGAGAGGATGCAAACCTGGGGTTACTTTCTGCCAGGTGTGGGCACATGAGAGGAAAGCCATTTCAATAGCATATCCCTATTGTTACTGGTCTCCTGTGCTGGTGGAGGGGAGAGGGAAGAGGCCATCTGACTTGGATCCCATCCAGGCCAGACTGGCAGCCTTGGACCCTGAGCTCACAGGCCCCCCAGTCTCCGTGAGGGATGGACTCAAGGCCAAAGGGCTCTGCAGTGGGCTGAGCTCTGAGGGCCCCCCCTCCTACCCCAACTCGACTATGTCCTCGGTTGAGAACAGCCTGCTCAGCTTCCTTCCCAGCCTGGTGCTGACCTGCTGCACCAATCAGGAAGTGGAGACCTAGAGGAGAGCCTCGTCGGGCCACATCACACAGAGGGTCAGCACATAGCCAGTCCTCAACTAGGTCTGCTCCCCAATTTCCAAACATGTTCAGGCTGAAGGCAATTTTAAACTCCAGTTTTGAGAACATTCTCTTCTGCAATCCAAGAAACAGAATTTCTCCACTAGAAAGGCAAAAGAAATTGGTTTTCTTACCTAGTTGCCCAAAGCCCACTGTGCTTCTCAGGTGAAGGCTGGTTCTGGTGGCTTTGGTGAGGGTTCCTTGGGGTGGGCTCTGGCCCTTGGGGTGGAAAGGATGAAGAGGTCCCCTAGAAGGAGATGCCTATCCCAGTGCTGCATGAGGAAGCTCATGCCTGTGAAGATTCTTTGAAGGGCATGGAAGTCCTTTGGTTCAGTCAGAGTGCAAGGAGTCTGGGAAGGGGTTAGTTTAGGCTTCACTGTCCTGTTCCAGCTGACGGATAGATAGACCTTCATGCCTCACAGCTTCAGGAATTCACTGTCCCCAGATTGCTTTGGGTTGCAGTTGAAATAGGGACCCTAGAAATGATCTCCTATTGCTGTGTCTCCATTTATTATCTCCAGACCTGCAGAGAGGATGCAAACCTGGGGTTACTTTCTGCCAGGTGTGGGCACATGAGAGGAAAGCCATTTCAATAGCATATCCCTATTGTTACAAAATGCTTTCCTGTCTCTTTTACTCTCCTAACCCCAATATTTTATGAAACTCTTAGTCATAAACGAATGGCCATGAGAGTTGACTTTCAGTGTAGAAATGCCTGCTAGGGAGGGTCTTTCGTTCACGCTTCCTTGGACTCTCTCCCCATCGGCCCTTGGGTTTCAATACCACATTGCTGCCCACTGACTGGACAACTTAGAGTCTTGGCCTGGAGCTGCTTGGGTACTTTGGACAGTGTACAGGACTGAGAGTGATACCGCTTTCATGAGGTTAGAGAGAAAGTCTACAGACTTAGAAAGTTTCGTGTCATGGTCTGAAGAAGAGATTGCCATTGGCTCATCTAGAAGCAACCACAGCAGCGGACAACAAAAGCCCCCAGCCCCCGCCCCACCCTTCAGGTGTGTGATGTGATTGCAGTCTGTCTGCAGGTGTGTGCGTGCCACCCTGCTGTCTTCTGGGGATGCTTCTATCTCCTGTGTGTCAAGTTCCCACTCTTCTGTGGCTCTGTGAAAAGTGCTGTGCTCTTTCTGCCCTAAGGGCTGTATCCCAATCTCTCGTGTTTCAGTATTGGAGGTGAGGCCATACCACATCTCCCACCATTCTAAGGGGACAGCAGGTTCTGTGACTTCCTAGGGAGCTGGCGTAATGTGACCATCTCCAGGAGGATCTCCAGAATTGAAAGAGCCCATATCCTGATTTGGACTCACTGGCCAGGACTTGCCTGGAGGCAGAGGTAACCGCTGCATTAGAGGGCTGGCTGGAAGGACCGCCCAGGGCACCAGGCCTCCTCCCATTTCCTGCTCTTGTCCTGACCAGGTTCTGGGAGGGGGGCCATGGAGAGGTCAGGACCTGGAGCCAGTGCCCTCTGGGCATAAAGCTGCCTCCATCTTGGGGGCCCCTGGACATCCCAGCCCCCTTGCACATTCACAAAGACTGAGTGGCAGGCCCTGTCCCCTCTTTGCTGTGGTTAGTATCTTGTTCTGTGGTTGGTTAGCAGTGTTGATAACCTGTGTAGCAAATCCTTTTTGTCTGCAGTTTAAAGAATGTGTAAACAAATAAAAGGTTTTAAAACTCTTGGGAGTTTTTGGTTATTCCGGCCCTCCCCCCACCAATCTTTAGAAAATGAGTTGCAAATGTATGGATCCTGTGGGAGCAGAGCACTTCCACACCGGGGTGTGCAGTGGTAGGACATGTGTGGGAGCACAGGTGTGTGAGTGTGTGTGTGTACACACATGCGTGTGTGTCGGGCTCCAGAGAAACTCCAGGGCTCACATGTTTGCAAGGAGACTCCAGGGGCAACACATTCCAGGTCTCAGTGGCTCCTGGTGACATAATTCTGACCCTATCATACACCAGCTCTGGGGAAGCCTCGGTCCCAGCAGCTTGCATGGGGACAGCAGGCAGCGCCACCAAGAGCTTCATCTGAGAAGACCCCTCTGAGAGGATGCCATTCTGAAGAGAGCCCCCTGGAACTTCTGGGGGAGGGAGGTTGATAATTCAGAGATGACTCACAGCTGAGGTTGGGGAAAGAGACACCTCAGGCTCAGAGCCATCTAGAAGCCCGCTGAGTCACTGCTCCTTCCCTCTAGGGTCAGAAACCGCCTTCCATAAAAGGCAGAGAGATGGCTGCTCTGGGCAAGGGGCAGGAGGCTTCACAGGAGACACAGCTGCCCTGAGAGTCCCAGCCTGCTTAGCAACTACCTTAAAGGAGCAGAAGGGCTCCCAGAACACGCAGGGAGTGGTTTCCTGGGGCTGCAAGCCAGGAGTCCGTCTTCCCAGAACAAATATGAGATAAGTAAGTGAAGCCTCTTCTATGCATTAGGCACTGGAGAAACAGCAGAGAAGAACAGGCCCCACCCCTTGAGGGCTTACAAACCAGACAGGTAATAACACAACATATGGATGGTGTCCAGGGGGAAATCTGGGGAGGTAGAACACAAGCGGGAACTTCTGGTCTCCGTCAATTGATGCGCCTTTAGCCGGAATCTACTTGTGCTTTTCGGTAAGATGTAGGTGCACGTGGCGCGGTGGGGAAACACTAGGTCACTTTGGGTCCCTCTGCTGAGTAAGTGCTCCAGCACTCTTCAGTAAGTCACTGTGTGCCTTCAGCCTGTCCTTTCTGAAGCACAGTATGTGGGGGCATTTCTAGCAGAGAAACCACTGATTGTTGCTGCAGACCTGGGCCATCCGGCAGGTTGTTGAGCCGTCTCTAAAGAGGGAGTGATAGCCCCATCCGGGGGCCAGAGCAGGAAGGCAGGGCCTTCACCCAGAGTAGGCTTGGTGGGGGCTCCACTGGCTGCCTTGAACTGCCCATTCCAGCAGTGGGGGACTTAGACTTGTGACAAAGTCCGGGCAGAAGATCGCACAAATACCCACAAATAGGCCTTTCATCTGCACGGAGGGCTGTGATGCTTCCACTTCACTCCAGGGAACCTAGCTTTGTAGACCAGTCTCACGCCACCAGTTGCAGAGAGAAGGCTTTGCAGGAGGCAATAGATGCACACGGTGGGCCAGGCCTGGGGAAGTTTTCAAACAGACGGGAACCTGATGGTGTTCCTGGGAGTCACAGGGGTAGTGAAGGAGGGGAAAATTGGAGGGACCAGGTTTATGTTCAGGCAAACGTAGAGCAGAAACTATTTCCTTTGTTCTTTCTTTAGGGAGAGGAAAAAGCATAAATGGTGAGGGCTAAGAAGGGACCAATGGGAGAGTCTAAGGAAAAATGTGGGTTCCCCTTCTAGGGGAGCAGAAAGAATGCTTAGAGAGGAGCCAGAAGGTCCAAATTTTGGGCTACCCCACTGGGGTGGATTTGACAGTCTCCAGTTTCTATAAAGCCTGCCCTTAATGCAGGCAGGTTTGGGTAAGAGCCCACCCGGCCAGGCAGATCTGTGCCCCAGCACCATCCTGTCCTGCAGCCTTGGAGTTCATCTAAGTCAGAGGCCCTCTGGGGTATTCTGTAACACCACTGGTTTTCCAGGGCCCAGACTTCTGGAAAGGACCTGGGGGATGCCCAGAGATCTGGGTGGGGTGGGCAGGGGTGGAAAGAAGGTGCCTAAGACCCATTGCCCAGCACATCTCTGATTCCATTGTCTCCTACATTGCAGGTTCTACTGCTTAAAAAATACCAAAACCACAACAATCTGAAAGCATCTTTTGGGATACCTGGTAGCAGGGACACAAGGGTATCCCTTGAGGCTGCAGAAGGCAGTGTACTGATGGGAGGCCATCCTGGGCCCAGTACTCTCTGCCAGGTATAAATGGACAAGGGCCTGTGCCCAGCTTTCTCAAAAGGGGCCTGGCCTCCATCGGGGCTTCTCCCTTGGGTTTCTCTTAAGCAGAGCAGAGGAACACCTGTGGCATGAGCAGGATGTTCCACTTCCCCCTCTTTTGAAAGTGGGGGGTGTCTCTGCAGCCTGCACACTTATACCCTCCCTTCCCATTCCTGCCCCCACCCCCAACCTGGGCCTGCCGTGGGGCCTGCTATCACCTCCTCTGTCATGAGCCTCAGCCTGTCGGTGCTTTAGCAGGGCCAGGACAACAGCCTCTTCCCAAGGCAGGTGGGTTGAGAATGTTCAGGCTAAACTTTAGGTAATTAGCATTGTTAATGCTCGTTCTGTGAGATTACAGCTGTGCGCCTCATTAAAGCATCCTCCAGGGGGTGAAGCGGAGATTCAGGTGTCAGCTCTGCTCCTCACACAGCGCCCGCCTGCCATCTCCGAGCCTCTGTTCCGGCGCCCAGCTCATTCCCAGGCCTCCACCCACTCCTGCTCCCCGTCTGCTGGCATCTGGGCCCGGCCTACCTCTCTCAGCTGGGACTGGCTCCTCCTGCCCCCTCGCCAGCAGAAAGCTCTGTCATCTACTCTCTCCCTTCCACCCAAGGGGAAATATGCCCACAGGAGGGAGCGGATGGCTGCCGCTGGCCAGACTTGGCTTGGAAAGAGAGGAGTCTGCCCTGGGCAGGGAACCCAGCCTGCCCTCTGAATCCTGAGGCTTTTTATCCAGGGCCATTCCTTCCTTCACTTCCACCCCCTCAGAGAAAACCCGAGGCTGGTGCCCTGCACCCCACACCTCCTGACTGGATTTCCCAGCTCAACTGGCATCTGCTGGCACAGCCCCTCCTCAGAAAGAAACCTGAGTCCCTCTAGCTTTAATTTCTGGGATTCCTGATTCCTGCAAGAGGAGGCAGGGGACAGACTATTTGCCAAACAGAGAAATATGAAACGCTCTTCAACCCCCTTGAAACCTTGAGGAAAATAATGCTAGGCCCTCTGGGGACTAAACACAGGCACAACCCCAAACAGAGGGAAAACACAATTCCAGTGGGCCTCCCTGGGGGCTGTGGGCACTGAGGAGGGCCCAACAGGGGTCCAGATGCTCAGTTGTCTTTCCTTTATGCTCCTCTCATGCCTCTGGGTCCTTTGTGTCCACAGAGATGCTCAGACAGGTCATCTAAGCCATTTTTGATGATCGAAACTTAACCATCTACTATGGGCTGAAAACTTGGAAGATACACAGAGCTCAGTAGCAACATTAGAACAGCGGGCCAGCTGAAAGGACTAATACATGTACAAGTGACTTTAATTCAGGATGGAATGACAGATGTATGTCCTGAATGTATGCAGTGGGGGAGGACATATTCAGACAGGCTAGGTGTATTGGAGCAGAAACTTGAGGGATGTGTAGGAGTTCAATAGCGGTAATTCGGAATTTGGGAGTAGGCTTTCCAAGTGGAGCAGGCAATGTGAACAAAGGCCCCTTTGTTCTGGGGGGCTTGGAACTTGTGTCTTGGGCGCTAGGACACAGACTGCCTCCCAGATTTAGGGCAAACTCTCCCAGGGAACTCTAGTTGCCATCATGACTGTACAGAGGACCTTCTGAAGTTGAGGGCTCCTGAGGAAGCTCTCAGAGTCCTTACCGTGGGAGAGATGAGCCTGGGGTCTTCCAGAAACATTCCTGCCAGTTTGATGTGTGCACTTGGATACTTGTCACCTTTATTCCCTCTCCCACCCTCCGTGCATCCTCCCAAGGGATAGATAGCTCCTAAGTTAGTCTCAGCTCTTTAAAGCTTAGTCTGAATCCTTTTTTAGATGGTTTCTTAAAATCCTCATTTCCCACATCTGCTCAGAGCTTCTCCAACCTTCCATTCTCTTTTGTCATTATGTTTGAATTGTGTTCTATCTAGAATAACAGCATCCTCCATGCTCCCACCCTCTCACACTCGTAGTCTGTCCATCTACAAACGCTTTTGAGGCTCCACTCAGATTTCTCTCCTTGTGGAGCCTTTTCTGACTTGCCCAGGGAGCAGCTGCTCCCTCCGCAGAGCCCCCACCTTTGTTGGTGTAGATCTCTCTTACAGCACCTGGCACTCTCTGCCCCATTTGTCAGCTTTCTTGCTGGCCTCCCCCATCAGACTGAGCTCTTGGAGGGTACAGATTATGTCTTGTTCACTGTTGAATCTAATTGCCCTAGTTCATGTTCAGTGAGTGAATGGGTGGCTAGATGGATGGATATGCAAATGAATGAGTGAATGAATGAATGAACAAATCAGAGGAAATACAGTGGGGTGGGGTGTGGAGCCCAGTTTGCCTCACATACATAGGTCTTTTAGGGGCAAGGCCCTGGTAAATTCAGATCTCCTGCCTTGGGTCCTGGACTCTGTAGGGGGAAGGCAGCTCTATTGGATGGGGAGAACTGGGTGGCCGGGCCTTACCCGTCTCTCTCTATGGCCCTCTTAAAACCCGACTCTTTCAAGTCCATCTGCATTATTAACAGGGTCTGTATTAAATGGGCCACTATCTGTTCCTCTTAAAGGAAATCCACTCTGCACTTAGAGAAAAAAGAAACTATGAAAATGAGCTCCATGCTTCTCTAGGGCAAAAAGACCAGCTTTCTTCTTAAAGAGTTCATGAAGGACCCTGAAAAAAATACATTATTAGATTAGTCCCTAAACAAACAACCACAGGCTAAAGTCATTGATAAAAAGCACCTACAAGTACATGGTTAAAACTGGTGGTTTACAACTGCCCTTTGCTTTTAAAGGACTAGGCAAGAATCAAGGCCATTGTCCTCCAACTAGATCTAACTCTGGAGTGGGGTGGAATGCAGCTTCTGGGGTGATCTTTTTGCTGTATTTTTGTTGTATCATAAAATAATTAACTTTCCTCTAGTTATGCCATTTAAAAAATATACACTGTACTTCTGTATGCTTTTAATTATGGCTTAAGACCAAATTATTACCCTGGGAATACAGTTGCAATTATATAATGGAAGTCGGTAAGAAAATACAAGTCATAGGTCTCTAACACTTGGGGACCCATTTGTTGGCTGGAGGTGGGCACCAGGAAAGTGCATCCCTGTCTCAGTGCAACCAGGAGGGGTTGGTGGAAGGGGCTTTGGGGCCTGAGAATGCTTGGAAGGAAGGCCAGCACTGCCCTCGCAGTGACTGTCAGTGAGCATGTTACGTGACCTCCACGAGCCTCAATTGCAGCATCTGTACAATAGGGTCATGACACCCACTTTGTAGAGTTGCTGTGACGGTGAATATCAGTCACATGTGTCTGGTGCCTGTGCCTGTGGCTCTTCCTCTCTCTCTCTCTCTCCTACCACCCTCTCTCCCACCTTTTAATGACAGACGTGGCAATAGCTTCCAACTAGGAGGAAAGGTGAAGAAGATCCTGCCCTCAAGATGTAAGTTCCCTTAAGAAACTTAGGCAGTGTGGTAGGGCCGGGGAAAGGACATGGCTTGGGAGTCAGAAAGCTGTGGCTTTGCCTCTTTGTCTCTAAATGGAGATAATTACATCTACCTCATATCTTGCATTTATTTGTAGGAAGACAATGGAGGTAAAGCTTTTGGCCCTATACCTGGCATACGATTAGTGCCCACTAA